ACGTTTCTGCAATGTTCGGCCACTATGAGTAGACATTCACGTGTCCCTCTGTGAGGCAAATACGCATAGAGTGGAAGACGTCTAAGTCTGTCGAACGTCTGCAGAATGATCTGTCTGCATTGAATTCCTGCAAGAATCTTGTTGACTGGGTGTTGCAAACAGATGGGTCTGAGAGCTTGGGGTTTGCTTGGGGATTTATTCGGTTTAGTCAGGAGATGGATCCATCCAGTTGTCCAATGATCCGGAAGGTTTACGGGGTATTGAAGCCAAACCTGCTTAATCTGATGCATTAAAGGATCAACAAGATCATGCGCAAAATGCTTCCAGATCAGTGCTGGCAATCCATTCGGTGCCAGGGCTTTAGTGCTTGGCAGGTGCAAAAGCTCAGTGAGCACATCCTGGCGGTCGAAGGGGAGTCGGGTGAGAGGTTCGAGATCCCGGGCGTCAAACTTCGGATCAGCAAACAATTGGGTATAGTAGTGTTCGATGGATTCCAGTTCCTGTCTCGGTGCAAGAGGCATGCCATGAGTATCAAAGATCTGAATTCTTTTCGGTCTTTGTTTCGGACACAGGAGCCTGATCTTCCGGTACCAGTCAAAGATGCGTCCATGAAGGGCAAGATCAGCACCCTCAGTGAGAATCTGTTGTAATTTGTCTCTCTTGTTTTGCCTGCTCTGTTTACGTATGGCTTTATGGATGGTTCGAAAGGTGGTGATATGAGCCCAACACTCAAAGAGATCGCGAATGCTTCGACCACGAACGGCCAGAGCCTGCTTGCGGGCATTCCACATCCTGGCGGCCATTGAGGAAATCTGGGGTGCATGAGGAACCCGGGATTTTCTTTTGGGAAAGAAACTAGAACAAATCGTTCGAAGTTCCTGTTCCAAAGCGTGCATGGATACCTGATGTGATGGATGAGGTGTAGAGTGTCGAGCGATGCTCTGACGAATCTGGACCTCAAACTGCTGCCAGTGTGCAGTGTTTTCGAGTCTAGCCGTACGGATAGCAAATCTGTCAATGGTGTTAAGTGGGAGCACTGGTTTCCGAGGCGCAAACCACCTGGGCAGGATAAAGAACAGTGGATGATGATGAGGGCCATGACATCCAAAATTGCGCATAAAATTCCTATCCATGGTGGGCTGCATGCGACGAAATTGGACCTGATGTTGACGAACAAAAACATAATCAATGCGAGAATGATGGGATCCATGTTCAAAGGTCGATGCATACTGCTGTTTACAATGCAACGCAATCAGGTCCTGTGCTTTCACCAATTGCTGAAGAAGATCTCGATCGGTGTGAGTGGTCAAGGACGCACGGGCATCATGGCTATTGATGTGTGGCGGATCGAACTGGAGGGTGGTATTAAAGTCACCCATAAGGACCATGTGATTCTGCTGCGGAATATGATTCAAAATCTGCTGCAAGCTGGTCCAAATCTTGGCACGATGATCAAGAAGCTGTTCCTTGCCTTTGGTTACATTCCAGGCATGCTGATATACTACGATGAAGTCGTATGTGCTGTCCAAAAATAGGCGGATCTGAAGAAGTCGGCCATCAAAATGAGAGGCCGAGGCAATCTGTTCAGGTCTGGCCAGGGTACCCCTAATGAGCACAAGTATGGCAGCGTGCTTCGTCGAGGAGTGGATACAATGCCATCCCTGGGACGTCCAGGTGGAGTTAAAATTCCATCCAATTTCCTGCAAGGCTATGATGTCCAGGGGCTGGGATGTACACCATTGCAGGAGCTCGTCATGGACCAAGTTCTTCGAGGCATTCCAGGTCATGCACCGTATGCCAGGTGTGGTTTGTGGGGTCCGTGACTTCAGCTTGTCTTGCGTGTGCCGTCGATAGGCTTCTCGAATGCGCCAGGGTACATCGGTGTCAAAAAGAAAGCCTTTTCGATAAGGCGTGTAGCCATGTTGCAGTGCTCGGAAGCAGGCTCTCTTGAAGGTCCTCTTAATCTGAACGATGCGCGGCCGGGATACGACAAGGCCGTAGCCTCCTTTGGCCCATACCTCAGAAGGCTTCGTGGAGAAGCTCTGGTTGCGAGTGAAGGATTCATCTCCACTTTCATCCGGGATTGAGGAGTCCCGGACAACCCTCACGCCACCCATGGTTCCGCTCGATATGAAAGGCGGTGCATTGGCATCCATGGGCCCTGGACTTGGGACCAGGGAAATCAGCCTCGGTCCTGACAGAAAGATGTGCAGCCAAATGAAAACAATCATCAATGGTGTGACGGCCAAGAGATCCAGTGCACAAGGCAAAGAAAATGGCGGGAAGATCTACAAGGAAATGGCTGCCGTAACTTGAGGCTGAAATGGCGCTTAAATATATTTTTATAGATAGATATAACCTTTTAATATAGTAAAAAGAAATCAATAATAATATATATATATATTATTTTAAATATTTGATATATTTAGAACATAATTTAATCTAATTAAATTATTTGATGATCACCCGGTCCGAGACCAGCAGGATACGGGAGAGTTTGCAGGGTGGCTCAGATAGCAATTGCTCGAGAAAACAATGCCGCTGTGCATGCAGGCTGGATGGACCTCCCCACTTGACACTTCCATTGGAGAGTCCGCTTCGGTTTTTGCCCCTGTTCCATTAGCCTGCCCACATCACGGAATCACGAATCTCCAATAATTGATACTAGATTGGCACCAACGATTATTTATCCACGCATTTTCGCATGATTCACCATGGATTTGCCTTCAAATCACACGATTCCCAATTATTGGCATCAAAAACACTTGTATGATTGAATGGGATCGACGAATCCCCCTCCGAATTCCGGATGACGCCCGAGGTGGCACCGCCTCGGAATGTAATGATTTTCGTGCCCCGATGCCTTTAGGCTTTGATCCAGAGATCCACAGCACTATATATCTCATTTGGATTGGGCCTTCCCACCTGGTCAATCCTGTATGGAAGAAAAATCACTTCCCATACCAGCGCACAATTTCGAAGAAACCACTTCCCATGCCAGCGCACAAATTCATCGATTTGCTAGGTGATCGATTTGTCTAAGCATTGGTCAAGCCATGACCTGCACATTCGAGTTGGTGCTTCGAAGCGCTAGACGTGTCCGGGCTTTGTTGTTGCCTGCAGCCCAACACTCCGAGGAGATAGCTGGAAGATGAAATAAAATTAACATAATTGATGATTTTTTTTAAATAAGAATATTTTAATATAATCGAATTATATATGATTCATATTTATAAGAAAGGAATTGTAAGATTTGATTTAAACATATATTCATATAGAATAGAATTAATCTTTTTTGAATATTAATGATTAATTTAATGATTATTCGTATAATTTTTTTGCATGATGGGGGGGAATGATTTCCTTCAAAAGTAAGCCCAAGAAGCTGCCATCACACGGGTCAACGACATCCCCTGCATGCTGTACAAATATGGTCATCATCTGTCGTTCCCATGGATCCCATATGGCAATATTGAAGGCTTGGCTCATAAGACAATTCCAACTCCATACCTGTGCCATCAAAATGCTGTTGATATAATATGTCGAACCTGAATTGGCAAGTCGGGTGGCCATCAAGGACCTGATCATCTCTTCAATCCTTGGAAGATTGCATTTGCCAACGGAGATCGATGAAGGTTGGCCTGTCGTACTCACAAAAGGATGAATTATGGGATGCCACCTGAAAATTTCGACAGATATTGGAAGAATTACGATGCCTCCGGGGACTTGAGATTCAGATCCAGCCGCCACGGAATAGCCACTGCGGCGTCCTAGGGGAGGTTCTCCTGATTAATCTGTCTGAGAGCTAAAAATTTGGGAATCACCGCCGGGAGTTGGCCAAGATGTGCAATCCTTTCCAACAACGTTCTGACTTCCTCCGAGATCAGTGACGGAATCTTGTTCGTCTTCAATATCTGGGCTTGAGGATCCCATGACAGGTAGGCCCGTTTCAAGTCGGCTGTCAGGATTTCTTGGATTTGAGGTTCTGGATCAAGGTGTCGTCGCTTGCCTCCAACTTCAATTTCTAAGCTCTTTGTGCCAAGTCCTGAAAGCAATGCAAGAAAAGAATCGATCTCAACGGAGCCGAGGCGTTTCCATTTTTCTTAAGAGCATTGTAGTAACTGGCTTTGGCCAATATGCTGGGGATAATGCTTCCTCGTCCGTATTAAAAGAAGAATATGTAGCTCTTGTCCAGGCTTAATTGGGCCAGGGCATCTTCCTCCCGAAGCGAAAATCTTGCAACCAAATTCAACAAATCCCAAATGCCCGGATGCATATTTAATTACGATTTAAATATTTATGCATCAAATCGGTAAATATCATAGAATTTTTGTAAGTTGTTATTCAATGCTTTGCATCCAATAAATTCCTTGCCCAACGGATATATATATATGCAAAAATCTAATATAATCCATCCAAACGATAAACCAATATATATTTCATTATAATTCGATATTAAAATTATATCTCAATAAATACCTCAAGATAATTAAAAAAAAAAATGCTAAAAGAATTTAATACAATAAATAATCAATAATATTATTCATTATCTAAAAATATAAATAGGTTAATTATTTCAATAATTATATTTACGAATAATAATTAATACATATTTCAAATAAAACAATCAAAAATATCATCAATTATATAATAATTAATAATTATAATACATCTATTTAATCCATTTAATCAAACCATCAATAAATCACCTCCCCCAAATCGCAAGCTTCTTTTAAAATATCATTCATATTATATATATATTTAATATTATCTCAAAAGAAAATACAATATAAATATTCCATCCATTATTCAATAAATATATATATATTTATTTAAAATAATATCATTTTATAACATAATAATATATATATAGATAATAAATAATATATAGAATTAATATATTTTCAATACTATAATACTATATCATTCTATATTTTATTAAGAATTTAGATCTATTCAATAAATTATTTAATATATATATAGTTATATATATTTTTTTTGTACATTTATTTACCGGTTTCTTGGATTCTGCATCGTACATCCTGAGAATTAAACATCCATCCATGCATGCATTTGCAATACCGTTTGAAAACATCGACCTCGGGCCCAGGCCCGTGCAAAGGACTCTAGCTCTTCATCCTCGGCCAAACCACCTGGTTTCGGAACCGAACAGCCGCGCATGATAGGATTTTGAGTTGGCAGAAGCTGGTCTCTCGCTTATATAGCAATGTCGCCAACGATTGCACGGAGCCTTCGAACATCTTCAGACTGATATCTTGCTGTCTAATGAACTCATGGTAAGTTGTCTGCTCAGCTTTGTTGTCATTGCCTCATGTCCTGTGAGATTGTGTGCGTCAAAACATGTTCAAACTCAGTTCCAATTTCCACTTTGAAAAGGATTTGAAGGTATAAGGGGTCAAAAAGAAACACATCTTCCCAAACCAAAGAAACCCGCCTGAAAACATCTCAAAACACACTCGCCAAGAATGTTGGCAACAAAAGCCTTCTGCGCCTGTAAACCACATGATTTTCGCAGATTCACCTCCTGCAAACATGGTTGAGGTGGATCAACCTCAATCACTTGCTTCCTACAGTAGGTTATAATCAGGGGCTGCTCAAGCGACAAAACAACCGGCCGTGAATCTGAGAAGCTCGACGACAAAGACATCACTCATGGCTTCGCCACCGTGTTGGCCACAGCAAACACACACCAAGAGATCATGAAGAGAACGCAAATTGACAAAGCCCAACGAAATGCAGCGGAATGCAGGGTGCAGCAGTGATGTTGGAACACCCAATAGAAGTAGTGATTGGAGGTGAACATGAGATTTGTGTCTAAATGTGGTGCGTGAGAAAAGAAGTCACAGAAACGCTTTTCACTGTACATCTGCAGGCCGTGCACTGTGATTTTTCCAAAAAATACTAGTGGCCCAAAGAAACCACTTGCAAATGTCTGAGAATGCTCTTGGTTTCCAGAGCGTTTTAGACTATTCAAAATACTTTATAATGATGAAGAGCAGATCTTTCTTCCTTCAATTTCCCACCTCCAGAGATGAAAAGCTGATCTCGGTCTTCCGGGGGATCTTCCAGTCCTTTCACCTGTGGAACATCGCATACCACAGAAACCGCCCAGTCATGCTGTGCGACCCCGACCCAGCGCCAACATCAAGGAGCGTGGAGTTCGGTTCACCGCCTGCGGAGCAAGCTACGGACAGGACCTTAGTGGGGTACCTATGAGACGGTCTATCGGGCCCTTCAACCTCTGTTGGTAGGTCCTTACGACCGCCCGACCACCTGGTGATCTGGAAACCCTCGCGTCGGTGTTTTTCTTTCGAAAAGAGAAAAAGAGAAACCACCTCACATCCGTTCCACAGATGTTCCACGGTCCGTCAGGGTGGAGAATCTGCCCTCAGTTTCCCTGGAACAATTCGGGTGAACCGAACTGTCCTCCGGTTCTTGTTTTGTGGGGGAGACCACTCCCCCCCAAAAAGGGATCCACTGACTGGGTAGGCAAAGGATCCACTTGCGCCTCCCGCACCACCTGCCGGTCACACCGAAGTTCCTCTCGGTGCGAGTCGCATTTGGGCCGAAGAAAGAAGCAAACCCACTGCCTTCGGCCCATGGCGAATTCATGATGTATTGGTGGATTGATTCCTAGAAATGTGAACACATGCACTTACAGCATTTAATTGTGATGCCTTCACTTCAGTTGAATCAAATGACATAGTTCAATATGGATCAATCACAACACCACTTCTTCCTACTTTCTGGCTAATTGATGCTTGGCTTCGTATTTCCGGAAACACCAAGTTGAGCTCATGGTGGGCCCTCCAAGTTTCTCCTCGCTGGCAAACTCCAAAGCACAGCCATGTTGCTGCACGGCCTGGGCAAGTCGAGCAAGATCGAGCAAGTCTTGTCAAGTGATCCGGGGCCAATCCTCTCCAGCTGACGACGAAGAAGCGGACGAGGTGTCAACTGAGCTGTGATGCTATGTGATGCTATGTGGCGGAGCCACTCTGCGGGAACCTTCGGGCTGCTATTGGTTGATGCTCGCGTGTCACCGATCAGTGGCAGAACTTCTCTTGGAATCTGCATCTTCTAGCAAGAATCCCTCATCTCTAGGCCCGCAGCAAGCAGGACAATGTCTCGGTCCTGCACAGCGTGAAGGGTGGATAACTTAGACTCCTTGACTCCCACAGGAGTACGCTTTGAGTCTTGATCCAGGAAGAAGCGGCTTACGCTTCAAACATGGTGCAAAGATTCATGGGTCGTGCAGGTGGTTGTCTATCAACAGTAGTTCCAAAGTGGAGTGTGTGTGTGTGAGAGAATTGCGTTTGGTAGGGCTTGAAGTCCTTACTTCACTGCAGCAACTTAAAACACAGAATGAGTAGGTCCGGGACTGCGACCATGTTAGGACAATGAACACGACCAAGCTACTGTCTGGGTGTCAACAACGAAGGTATCTTAAGGAACTCAGCCTCTATGACCACTTCTTCGCTGACTCTCCTTTTTGTTCTTCGGGTCAGGTGTGAGACGGTGCTAGTGATCGCCACACCTTTGTATTTTCTATTATGGTCCAAACAAAGGACTTGGGGGTGGTGCTGGTGTATCAAGCTCAACGGCCCAGTTGTTGGGGTCCACTTGTAAGCAGGTAATGTCAAGAGAAATCGACAATCTCTTGGACCCCTTACTTGTCTTTAAGCACCAGGGGTATGAGTTATATGATGTCATAAGCTACGAGTCATGAGATCAAGCTCAATCCAAGAAACATATGGAGATAAGATAAGAGACAAAAAAATAGTGAAACAGCGGCGAATAAAGCACGATAGCATCCCATAATTACTATTACATACTATTACTTACATACCCACTGGTCTACCCCTTTTCTGCGTGGTCATCGACCTCGCCCGACGCGCTCCTCGCGGAGCCGTGGCGAAGCAAACTGCAGAGCCAGGCCGTCGAACCTGAGGACGCAGCGAGTGAAGCACTGCGAGGACGCAGCGGGTCTCAAAATGCGGGGACAAAACAAGGACCCAAGATGACCCAAGCGTTTAGATGTTAATTACACACCAATTTATGTTAAAAAGAACAAGGTAACAACAACTAGGACACTCACACAAATTTCACACCATCGAACATTGAAAACATGGGGACATTGGCTGGGAAGCTCTCCCCGCAACAAATGGGTGAACTCATTCACATCTGACCCTGCGTTTAATTACTAGCAGAACACGCTGACCAGCCTGAGAGCCCCAAACATAATTCAAGTAGGCACTTTGGTGGATGCCAAAGGGGTAAGCCTAAGCGAACCTACCTATCAAATATCATATGGCACTGTGGACTCGATATGACACTGCGGTTGAAGTCAATGACATCGCGGACTGAATATGCATCAAATGGCAGCCGGCTGAGATTTTTTCTTCATATGTTTTACATGTTGCTTTCAAATCTGCACCTGCAAAAGCTTAAAGAAGCGCAACGGAGAGGAAGGTCGGCGAGTTCTTTTGCTTTGAAAAAATACAAACATCCGATGACTGAATCATGACCTATGACTGATAGAAAAACCCAGCTTGGGCACCACCCACCAAGCTTTTGCAGTGTCAACCGTGGCTTTTGTGTCGTAAACTTGTCAGTGCCAATTTCTGGGATTCAAACAACGAACAGGCGTTCCGATAGGTGTGTCTTCACCCATCCTTGTTTCTCCCTTTACGAAAAGACATCCCATCATCCCAGGAGGCGCGATTCTGCGAAACGCTGACGGGAGACGTTCCCAAGAAACGCTGAACAACAATGAACAAAAGAGATAGGCTCACTGGGTGCCCCACTTGATGGCCGCCATCACCACTTCTGCATCGTCTTGAAGCTCCTGCGCGTTTGGAGGGGGTCATGGCACTGGAAGAGTTTGCTTGACAAGCCTTTCATGGATGGCTCATGTCCTCGTCCCAGTGTAGCCAGTCAAACCGGTTACCATTCGGCTCAAGCCCATCTCCACAAGAACGCCTGAAATACTTGGACTAGTCCTGACAAAGTATGACGCTATGAATGATAAGCAAGTACCAATGCACAATGAATCACCAATGACCAACGACGAACCAATGACACTGCCATAGAATTCAACATAAACTACATATCAAGTCCACGAACAGCAATGGAATCGACTGCAGTTGACTAACAAAACCAATCCAACCCAAGAAGTGGATTTTGAGCAAAACTGGCTCATTTGCAAAGGGATACAAAGTTGATCGATCAGATGCCACTTTGGAGAGTTTAGTAATTCTTGCTCTGCAGCACCCTGTCTGGAAGATCAAAATACAGGCACTCAACATAGCCTATTGGAACACTATTTAAGCCTACAAACTATTGACACGCCATGTCAATCTTCTCTGGTTCCATTCCTTGGTCCGTGTTCCCAACATCACACCTCCGCCAAAAGGAACATCCATCGATGCGTCTGGTCCTCAATCTGCCCCTGAGGTTCTCCCCTCCTCACTGGCCAGCTTGAGGTTCTCCCCACTGGTCCTCACTGAAGACATCACCACCTGCAAGTCTGGAACATCATCGGGACACCGCAGCACAAGGGGACACCTTCAAATCCTTGGGTCCGAGTCATTGAGTCTTGGCCGCCTAGAAGAGGTCATGTCAAATTGGCCCCGATGTCCTAAACCTGAAGGGGTGTGAGCTCTCCCTTTGTATGGGTGTGTCTCACAAATGAGAGAGCCCCTCCCAAATCCGGGAATCTAGACTAAACCCATGCTTGGAATCCGTTCTTGGTGGTTTGGTCGAGATCTTGATTCCCGATAGTATCATGTGGGCGTTCAACCCCTCATAAGAGGCTTTAGAATCCAAATGGGTGGTTATTAATCAGCAGTCAAACAGTCAACACTACATCCGAAGTGCACTCAGAATTGGCGAACAAGGTTGAGACCTAAACTCCGCACCCTGCGCCGAGCCACATGTTCCGATGAGGAACGACATCTGGGAGCTTCCGACTCTGAGCATTTTCCATTATTGTTAATCATCACGACTCACTGGAATCTCCCAAGCTGATGACCTCCTTGACAAAGCACTCGGCACCACTAGGCCTCCTTGTCTCCTCTCCACTCGGCAAAGGCAAACCCAAATGCATCTGCATCCTGTCTGCCAAACGATCTTCAGCGGTTCTACCCCTAACCCTGGATATACAGTAAGCATCCCTTTCAGGAACTTGGATTATATATTTTTTTCTTGGTCCACTTCGGTCCACGTGCGTGAATACGAAACAATCACCTCCACAATTCCAAAGCCTGCAACACCAGAAGGCCCGCCAGGCCAACCAAATGAGGTCCTATATGTATATATATATATATTAAACTATCCGACCAGTTCGCAAAAGATTGCAATCAATTCTTAGCCCTGAGTGATTTCATGTATTTTCTCCAAAAGCGTGGCCCACTAAATTCAACTCTCCAGGATTTTGCAGAGGCTATGTTTAACAGTGTTGTTTGGTTCCGAAACAGCTTTGGTAGCAACACATATCATAAAATACAATACAAGGACATGATATATTCAATATGGAGAAACCGTCCATTCAGGTGAAACAGCTTAAGGGTGAATGTGATTGGCTAGTCACCATATGTCATCGTTACCCATCGGGACCTCGTTCTTTCATACAGTTTCTCTTTGTTCTCAGCCAACGCCTCATCTTGGAGGGAACGCCTTTGCAAAGGGTTTAGGGCCTAGGGTGTGTCGAGACGTTTGGGGATTCACACGCCTGAGTTCTGGTGTATCCTACCCAACCACTCGGACCTGTTCTCTCCAGGCACCCCTTAAAAAGACCTATCCCTCAACAGCCATTTTGCTCGTAACAACTATCCCCTCCTGTCGCTCCCGCCCCTCCTGTCGCACTGCTGTCAGCACCTTGGGTCGAGTGTGGATGTTGGTTTCGAAAGACGCCTATCTAAACAACATCCACGCAAGTAACTGTACTCATGAGACTGGAGGTTTGTTCCTTTAGTAACAGTCTGATTCTCTTTCGTGTCCGATGGTATCAAGCAAAACCCAACTACTCTCCACCTATCTAGGAGCACGGGAGACAACACACCTGACAACAACCTGTTGGATCTTAAAGTGCCTTCGCCTCCAGAGGGATCGGATTTGGTACAGTATCTTAGAGTAATCCTTGAACATAGCCAGAACAGCAATAGACTGTTTGGTCTATATAGCTTTCTCTCTCTCTCCCTATGTATATAAATATTTATACACATACACACAACATATACATTTAAAATCATTCGGATCCGTTAGTTACCACTTTCTGTTGAGTTATGCTCGCTCTTCATGAGCTTGTGGCATGTTGTTGGTTTTTTTTGCAAGCGCAAAAGACCTCAGGTGGATGGTTGTGTTTGACCTCCAGGCTTCAGCCCATGTAGGCTACCGGCCCGGCTAGTTCCGACGGCTGCTGCTCTACGTGCCCAAAAACAAAAGTCTAACACACAATGTATGATCATAGTATGTTAGGTTGGGTCTATCCTATTGCCAGTTTCAGTGGATGATGCTTTGTAAAGGCCTTTCTCCAAGCTAGTAATAGTTATTTACCGACTGTTACAGGGAATAGGACAGACCCAATATATAGGTATTAAAGCATTAATTCCTCAGCTTTGTACCCTCAACTTGTACCTAGACGTTCATCCTGCTTTAATCGTGGAGGCCTGCCCCGTCTGCAACTCTGATGTTGCTTGACATCTTTCTCATTGTGAAAGTCATCCTCCTCATCAAGTTTGACTCCTGGAGCACATTTTTGGGAGGTTTCCACCAGAACTTTCGTGAGCAGCGAAACCGAAAGCTCATCCATGCTCATCCCGCTGCCAAGGCACTAGCTCCTTGTCTTGCGACCTGGATATGGCAACTGATTGCCATGCCCGGCTGGTCAGTACTGCGTGAAGGAAACATACGCACACACAAATATCTTGAAACATGCTGCTCACCTGGGAAGGGTTGGGTTTTGGGAGGATCAGAGTTTGTTTGAGTCTGGGAAATCTGAATGCATTCACGTGAACAAGTACTTCATAACTTCCTCCACTCCAAAAAAGCTCATTCCATGTGACATGTGCTGTGTTTGAGATTAGTTTTCTGGTATGGGGCTCAAGAACCTGGTGCTCACTTCTCCAGATTAATAGGGGCTGGCATGGGGCGGCCTTCCTTTTCAAAACTTCTACTCATTTTTACACATCTTGGTCACCGGTTCAATCTTCGGTGCAGGTGTTCAGCGCCCCGAGCAAAACCCCATCGGGAACCCCCACTGCGCCAGTCGCAGCAAGCGTCCATCCGCAGAGACTGCCGACCAAAGGAGCTCCCGGTCCTCTGAAAAGGGCGGGACGATTGGAGCGATGGACACCACGGCACCACGACACCAGGGCAGGTTTCCAAATGGAGAACCTGCCAACCGGCTGGTTGGGTACGGTAAACGAGTTCATACTTTCCTGTTCTCGTTTCGCTGGATACAATTACACTCTTTAAACAATAAGTGGCGCAACTCCAAGTTGGAGGAGAGCGCCATCTACCCACCCAAAAATGAATTCCAGGCCACACAAAAATATTGCTATTGTGGCGGCAGGACTTGTCAGTGCCAAAAATGATGGGCCATCTACTTGGCAAAAAAATGTATTACTTGGGGTGGGGCAGGCTCTTGAGCAATTCACTTCCTGTATGATTGAATCTTGAAAACCGAAATTGAACCACGCGCATGGATGCACAACAAGCAAGGGTTGACCCCCAACCACACCCTGACAACGACATGTTTTTTGAAGCGTTTCGTGCAATAAGTGTCCCCAGATTTCTGGGGAGCTCACAGCTAACAGTTTAAAGCTGCACTGGACTGTGTGAATACTCCAATCTATTTTTTTGAGTTCTAGGTGATGTTGGATGTCTTCCATTAGTACTAAGTGGTATGGTCGACTTCGAGGCGTACCAAAGTGATCACTAGGCAACCTCTTCTACAAATGCGCAACTGAAAAAGAGAAACTCCAATATCTTCTATACCAGGGTTTTGCCCTTTTTTGGGCCAGAACCTCATCAGCTTCTTACTTCGTCGGGGGGCCCCCGACTTCCTACCCCCCTCTGCCCGGTGGTGTGCCCAACGGATGCGGCAGTGCACCTCCCAGAGATTTGGTTCTGCAAACTGCAAGGTCTCACCTGTCGAATCCGCGGGAACCAAATGAATAGTGCGAGCGCTTCTTCGAAGCGTGAGCTATCTTGCGTCCTAGGTAATACTGTAACTATAGGAGCTAGTAGCTTGCTAGTCTTACTAGTCCCTTACTTATCTTACTTAATGAAGTAGGCGCCTACTTAATTATATAAGTGGGGAGGGGGAGCGGGCCTTTATATAAAAGAAATCGCTCAACCGCGGGCAGCCCGTGGCACTGTGGCACCTTTTCAACTTTCCTCAGTGTTCTTGCCTGTGAATCAGACCGAATCGGTTCCAGGGATGTTTTCTTCTGACGTACCTGACCCACCTGACTGTCAGGTCCAAAAAAGACTTTTGTTGGATGATCGCACAAGGCCCACCCAGGCCTGCACGTGACACGGCAGCTGCGACCACCTGCAAAGGAACAAAATGGGGGATTTGGCTGAAACTCCAAAAAACATCGCATCATAGACGTAGACATGAGTGGACACAACTTTCTTCCTGTTGGTGGATACTTTGGTGACTGGGCAAAGGGAATATATTTCCCGGAGATTCTTTCCAAATACTGGCCTGTACTATAGCTGTGATTAACACAAGCTACCTTCAGCTGAAAACATGGGAGAACTGTGAGGCCTCTGGAGCAAACAAGTCTTTGTAGCTTCAGGCAAGAACTCGAGCCACTGGGCTAATCTGCTCCAAATTGTGGCACGGGTGAAAAAGGGGACCCGTGGACGACAGAGGCTAGGCTCTGCGGAGATCCGTACGTCCGCTAAGAGGTCCAAACTGCAACTTACCCGGACCGGTTGTCACATGCTTTTTGCCTCCGGACCCAAAGGTTTGGATCAAGCTAATGAGCGACCCGGGTCCGAACGGTTTGAGTCACATTCCAAACGAGTTTGGTCGTTCGGATTCCGAACGGGCTCACACCCCAGAGGTCATGCCCGAAGTCGGGCCTCCGAACGGGCCCTCCGGCTCGGACCAGAAAACACTGAGGAAGGGGGTAGCAAACCCGAAGCAACCCCTCCCCATGGCTTCGGGCCCGGATTCAATAAGCTTCTCTCGGGCACCGCTGTCGTGGTGGGCGGAATGGTCGGAATCTGGAAAGATGTGGTCAAACAAGCTCATCCAAAGCTGGACGGCTACTACCATCAATCAACAAGATTTGGTTGGATTATATAATAAACTACAACAACTGCGGTTTCGGTGTGCGCTTCTGATTGGATCGAATCGGGGATTCGCTGGACGGCGATGCCCATCTTTTGATCGGGAGTGTGTCTGGGGTACCCAGACTGGCTGGTATTCGCAAGGACTTCTGCGAATCCCACACCCTTCTACGAACTTCTGCGAAGGCAAACAGGGTTAGCACGAACCTTTGCAAGGAATTCTTCTGCGAACACCCATAACATCTACAACCCCCACATGGGTTCTGCCAGCCCCAAATTACCATCCACGAAGCTCTGCGAAGGGTAATGCACCATAATACACCTACTTCTGCTGACTGCATACTCCGTTCGTTTTACATATGATTTTGCCTCCGAAGCACTTTCTCTTGGCCGAACAGGCCCCCTGAATTTTCACAGGGCGCCCCTCTCCAATCCATGTGTTCCATGCGCCTCTCGGCAGCCCCGCAAGGTCTTGGAGGCATATTGGAGGGCATCCGGGTCCTGACAGTTGGGCCATACATCGGGCAGTTTTTGACCCTCCCGTCGTAGGTGAACATTCACTCACATGACGTACTCACATGACGTACTCATTTGCTTCTATTTGGGTGCGCACTCAAGGAGCACTCAAAGCAGCATGATCTGTCCTCTTTTCAATATATGCTCCCGATGCGCCACGTTCAGTGCATTCATGTGCATTCTGCATTCAGTGGTCCCCCCACTATCCTCTCGCTGGGGGATGGGGACCATGGCTTCGGGTGAACATGTGTTCGGGTCTGTGGCTTCCTTTTGGGTGGAAAAAACGCATGGCTTTGCCTGCGTCTGCGCCTATTTGATTCACGTCCAAATGCACAATGAAACGATTGACTACGAAGCAAAGCCTGACAGCCTTGGCAGCCCAGAAATCAACATCTCGAAAATAATCTAGAAACAACAAAGCATCCCAAAACAATCTCAACCAAGACCTGCGTTGCGGTCCCTCATGTTTGAATAGTTGCAAGGTGGGTGGTAGGGTAGGCAATAGATCCCTCCCCAAAATAACAGCCCCAGCTGCATGCTGCATGCCTGCTCAATGGCGGCGAGGACCACCTCGTCCCGAGCTGGTTTCGGGGAACCTTCATGGTTTTGATACCAAGAGCTCCTCGGACTATCCAACGCCGGTTGTGGATTCATCTTATGATCGATCTATACATTATGCCATAGGCATCCCGAAAGACAACATTTAACTATAACATAATATGTTGTTATACAGTTTCTCCCCTTGAGTCGGAAACGTCTGAGTTGATCTCTTCAGAAAAGAACTTCCAACTTTCAACCATCTAAATGCACGGAATATTTGAACTTCATAGCATCTTCATAGCTTGTTTGTCCTGGCACCTTTGCAGAATTCGATCGTTTTGGAGCTCCAAAAACCGGCCTTCCGACCTTTGAGTATCTAGGGTTTCTGGGCTTCCTCACCTGTAAGGGGTACCACAACAAAGGGTTTCTCCTATCCTTCAACATCAGTTCAAAAGGTTTGATCTACGGCTCAAAAACTTCAGCTCGGCTCTGCCACCAAACCTGCAGCCTCACTATGCCTCACCTATGGCCCATGGCTTACGAATCCGTTCATGGCTCATCAAAATCTTGACTAACTATATACACTCTTATCACTCTTTCAATTCAATTTTTGCAGGATTGGCACGCAAACATGACAACCAAATCTTGTGGTTGTCTAGGTCTTCATCGATTCTGAAAGGATCTCATCCACGCAAATCGTCCCCTAACTCCGCCTCACCCACCAGCGCCTCTCGGTCATCCTGTAGCTCGCAGGCCGCAAACCTGGAAATGTTTTTTTCAAGAGACACGTGGCATGCCAAACAGTGCAAATGTCCGGGAACGCCGGAACGGTCTGCAGCCTGGATCTGCCGATCGTTCTCACGTTTGAATGAGTTCGGGACGCCGGAAGTTGCAGGGCAGCGTGGCGATTCATGGGAAGGGTACACTCCTGAAATAATTCTAGAGGTGGATGGCACCACCTGCTTGGTATTCGGAAAATGGTCATCCAAGGGACCATGCCATCCACTTCCGTGAGAATGTCAGGGAGTGTCATTGCACCCCCGAATTGAACATGGAGTTGGACCCCCGTGTGCACATGGTCTTCCCAAGGAGGCCCTCTCCACTGCCCTGCTGGTAAGCCGGAGTGTACTTGCTGGACGAAGAAACTTTCGGCACTGCAGTCCTTATCAAATGATGCAACTTGCCTTTCATGGCATGCAGTGGCAGGTTTGGAGGCTGCAAACCATGAAAGCGTAGGCAACCATGACCACTTCTGGGGGTTCTACCTATGTTGTGCGATCAGTGGGGAATAATTAGCATCCCGGCCACTGTAGAGCAATCCCCTCATCCGCCACCGCTGCAAGGACCAAAGCACGGTCCTGAGTGGCGTCAAATGGTTTGGGTCGGCCCCCTAGAGTTCCTGTAAACCTGAAGGGGGGGGGTAGCCCTCCCATGACCATCCCAAGCTATAACAATAGGATTTGTCATGCTTTGTCTATTACTCTGCAACAAGGTCTGGAGTTTGGCTATGAAAGTTTATCTAAATTCCAACAAGATTCACCAACTCATCCGAAAGAGTTCCACCGCGCCCAAGTGGGTCAATGAATCCACACATCAACTGAATCTTGGATCCTCTTGTGACAGTTGTTGCCCCCTTAGTCATCCGCAAACGATCCATGGATCCGCAAATGGTCATGTTCAATGGATCCTCTGAGATCTGGCCACCTCTGACCACCCTACCTAGCAGGGTCCCACATACTGGCCCTAGCGGTGGCTCATTCAGAGAAGTACCTGGCCTGGACGCTAGTAGAGTCCAGGCCAGGTAGATGGTCGATGCACTTGTTACTCGTAGCTTCTAGCTACTAGTAGTAATGCCCTTGTTACTAGTAGCGATGCACTTGTTACTAGTAGAGTCCGGTAGATGGTCAGGGTTTGTTTCGCTTTGGACAACTCTTTTGCCATTTGCTCAGATTTGCTCTACAAGCACACCTTTTTGCCTTGAATGGGCCGTATACTGTATACATCTGTACACTGTATACTGTCTTGTGTGTGGGCAACAGAAACTATTATGTGGGAGTGGAGAATGTGGATAAGATTAAATGTTCATAACCTGAAACCACGCCTTGGGATCGTGTTCTTTTTGATGGCTTGAATGGGTCGCTCGCACTGCATGTCTTTCTCTGTCTGCTTCTCGTTCCACCGTGCTCGACCGTGCCTGGCGTTCGGCAGCCCCTCCGTCCCGCAAGCGCTCCCAAGGGCTATCCATGGCAAGGAATTCGCCCCGTGCTGGTTCTGGGTCTGGGATGGTCTGGGTGTCAGAAGGGGTTCTGGCAGAATGAAGAGCCTCCTAGCAAAGCATCTCAAACATTCTCAGACTCTTCAGGGGACCAGCTTGGAGCTTGGAGACGCACCGATTCCTGACATGTGGTGACAACAAGTCAGTCCAATCCACGGAGTCCTTTCTCATCCTTCAAACAAGCTGGTCTTGAAAGTTTTGATGCAGCCGGTGTGGCCACTCTCAATACAGGCCCACCAAATACCTCATTACACACCCTGCACTTGAATCGGATAAAAAATGCATCTGTGTCGCCTCCAGATCCCCCTCTCTGGAACGGTTTCCAACGTCTGATCTTGCTTTTGAGCGAGTAACAATGTGGTGAATCAGCTCTCCTCTTCTGCTTCACATGGACTGAGTAGTTGATTCGTTTGTGCATTGGCTGGCTGACAAGGTTTTGGTACGACCAAAGAAGTATACTTTAATCAGATTGTTATATCGTCTCTATCCTATGCATCAGTAGGGTAAACACAGCCGACTGTCGAAGCTTGCTACGCAGCCGTGTTACCAGTGTCTCTGAGCCACGAATGCCGGAGAACCCAAACCCTTCAACAGCCGAAAGAATCACAACCTTGTCGAGTCTATATGAAGTCCCTACGCCAGCCAGCGCAAGAACCAAACACCCCATAAACACCTGTGTTTTCTACCGAACTTGTTCAATGGACACCCCATTTTTCACTCTTAAAATGTCCACACTCACGTCTTCCCTTTCCACCTCCCACCATTCGTTCGTTTGTGTCGACGTAACCTCGACGTCGGGGACCGATACCATCGGCATGCTTTTTCCAAACCGAAACGAACACGACTGGAGCCTAACCTGTCAAGTGCTTCTCAAGAACTCCCTGGTTCTTGGATTGCTGGTGGTTGGAAAGGTGGCCTAATTATTATGAACTACTTCAATACCATGCTTTAAGATTTCACTGTAGCTCCTAAGATCCTTGGCCATTGGCTCACTGTTTATAAAGGTACATATGGATATTAAACCTCAGTTCCTCGGCTCCCTCCTAATCAGCTCAATCAGTGGAAGCTTAATCAGTAGCTAGAAAGATCGCTTGGTCCGGATCATCGAGTCATTGGCCCCATCATGGGAGACGAGTTGCTTCCTCTTAAAGCCGCAGAATGCCATGTTTCTGCGGTCATGTCCTGACGCAAGTCCATCCCATGGAACGCACAGGTGGCCACTTTTTGGTCCCAAGCCTCCATTGAACCTTGAGCATGTTCTGGTCCTGTCCAATTTAAACGGCACGCGGCACGCGATATCTAGATCCGACAAAGCAAGCATATACAGCCCACCCTTATGGGTGATGCACTCCACCAGGGCACCACAAATATTCCAGTAAAGGAGCTTCTCACATCAAACACGGACGGTTGTAGCATCCACCAAAGACCAAAGTTGCTCAAGTGCCCGGCTCTGGAAAACCAAGCCCTTTAAACAATCCAAATGCACCTTTCGCAGCCTTTCGCAGGAGCAACTGGTAGTGGTCCTGTGCTAAATTACAAGTCAAGCACAGGTTCCACCTTCTAATTCAGTATGAGGAACACATTCATCAGTCAGTAGATCTGCTCTCGTGCCCTCAGTGTCCTCATACAGTCCAAGCTTGGTCTTGTGCCGGGTCCGTGAGCAATCCGGGTACAGGTCCGTCTGATTGGAAGAAAGTCCGTCTGGTCCATCTACAGGCACTTCGGGTCAGCTGGAAGACACACCATGGCCAAGCAACAACATGAGAGTTCTTTATATAAGTATTGATTTCCATCTTTATCTGCAGCCATTGTGGAAAATTGACATATTATGAAATATTCAATTGGAGGAACGAAAACAAAGCACCAGGTATTGCACATCTGTTCTTTCCCCTTTCAGGCTACCATTTAACAACTCCCGCTGTTGTAAGTGTTCCTTCATGTCTGGTTCGTTTGTCTTCCAAAGCTGGCGCTCAGCGAGCTCGAAGAACACACACTCTCTCAGAATGCGTCGAGGATCGGATGTGCCAGGAGGGAATATGTACAAACTCCAAATGAAATCACCCTGCCCGTCTCAGATTGGAAACTCAACCCTGCCCGTCTCAGACTGGACCATTTGCAAGACCCACATTGGAACAACAACAACAACAACAGGTGCAAGAGGAGGAAACAAAACCGCATAAACCGCTGTGCCCAGTCGCTCCACGAGAAACAAGAACGTGTCTGACGTCTGTTGGTGGATTGTCTGGCTCAGCTGGAAGTTGGGTCCATTCTGATTTGACCAAGATCCAAGTCTCTGACTCTACCAGAACTTCCGCCGAAGCCAGGAGCCCCAAGCACCTCGAGGGTTGGTTCGGGCCTCTTAAAGGAGAGGCCAGGTATGAACGCATGGATAAGCACGGGTTCCTAAAGTGGTCCAAACATGCAGCTTCAGAGTTTGCTGATCTGCGACTGGGGAGCTCATCTGAACATGATGAGTGTCCAATCTTAACCATCAACCAATGCCCAGCAGCTGCGAAGTGTCCAAAATAGCAATTCTCTCAAATTCTCTGGATGTACTAGGGACATCTGCAGATGCGATGAGTATTTCCACAGTGAGGTCATATTTCGTCATGTTCGACTTGACCTGAAGTTTTTTGTGCTTCAACAGAGCATTGGTTTTCCTTTTCAACCCTTTTTCTATAACCCAAGATGGCCCAAGGTCACCAGTGCCGATCCTCTAGCCGTCCACTTCCCAGATCACCACCGTGCCGGTCCGATCCGTCGGTCCTCCAAGGCGCGGAGTCCGAGACCGTCGGACCGTCGGTCCACCTCTTGGCACTCATCAACTCTCCTGACCGGGGAAGCACGAGTCCTGACGTCGGAACGGTGGGGAGGTGGACGAACGGCAAAAGGTGCATCGCTAGTAGTAACAAGTGCATCGCTACTAGTAACAAGAAGCTACTAGGGGCTCCTTGGCAAAAAATTGGTGGTTTAGATGTGCCACAAATGTTTATCCGCCCTCACAGACTAAACCACCAGAACTATAACATCTCTGACTACTGGTGGATATTTGGAAACAATACATGCAGACCAGGCTCTTCGGGGATAGACTGGATCTTCGTGAGTACCGTAGATAGTAGAAAGCTTGGGATGTCCCTTATCCTTCTTACATCACCAAATACCTCCAGGTGTGCTAAGCAACTACCCATGATTCATGTGTGAACCACCATGGGGCCCTGGGGTCATCACGTGGTAGGCTCTCATCTGTATATGCCAGCAACCAGTGTGTATGTGCCCCCTAGGACTAGAGCTGGCATCTTGCAATCACAATCTATTTCTTCTGCCCCCTGCAGACTAACATGCACCGTGAAAATTACCCTGTGGAAGACAGTTTTCCTCTAGAACCCAGTGGTTTTGAGAGACCATGTTGATCTGCACGGGGTAAGCCTGCTGAGTGCATGCACGAGGCTTGTCATGAATCCATTGAGAGATTCGGCGAGTGCCCCTGTAGAATATTATGCTAGAACCGGATTTGTCGAAAAAGCAACGACCACTTCAACCCAGAAACAAGTACGACACACGAACCAAAGGACCCCAACATTTTGTGTGTGTGCACGTACTAGATTGAACAAAAAGAAGTGCTCCAAGAAGTGCTCCAACAGGTGCTTGTTCATTGTTCATCCACGCTTGATCAGGTCCCGAGGGAACTCTCGCTCTTCTGGCCCAACGGCGGCTCCATACTGTCATGACACATACTGCACCCCAAAGTCGGTACACTCTGCCCAAGTGACACGCATTACGTTCGTAGCTCCTTGTTACTACAGTGGTTTTAGAGTAGATGGCACAGACCCCAAGATGTCCTTTAGATGGGGGTCCAGTGCCATCTACTCTCAATCCACTATAGTAGCGATGGCCTCCAACCCAATAGCGACGGCCTCCACCTAGTAGCTTCTTGTTACATCACTAACATGGAAGTGGCAACTGGTCCCTTGAAAGACTTCCATGCAACAGCCAGATGTTCCCTTCGACCCACGAAGAACTCGCTGCGACGCTGGGAGAAGAACTCGCTCGCTTTTTGGGTGCTTGTCACAGTGCCTGCCTAAGCCTCAGGTGTGCACACATCCGCTCAGTTGCACGGATGGAAAACAATGGCTTTCTTACTGGCTTGGTACTCTTGTATTTAGACAAATGTCTATCATTGTCTATCTGTCTATCTAACGGGGTCCAATGCCACAAATAACTGCCCTCACAGAATCATTATTGATTCATAGGGTAGTATCTGTCAGTATGTGTAGGGTTCACCTTTGTAGGGTTTCCCACAACCTGCTTTGGCTCAAACCAACACATATGGCTGTAGGCCCAAACCCCTCAGCCCGTTTCGACCTCCGACTCGGTCGTCCATTCGGTGGATTTTCTCCGGTCAACCCAGGTAGCCCGGTTTTGACCCACCCATATCAACGGATCTTCCATCCATCCCTGGGAAAGAATTTCATGGTTGGAGTGACGGAGTGCCCGTGCCCAGTCAGGACTATTGAACAACGGCTCTGTCCATTGAAATCAACCGCATGTCATAAGCGTGATGTTTTCACAGTCTTTTGAGCCCCTATAGGACCCAAACCTTTGTTGGAGCCAGAGCAAGACTTCCCATGCAGTTGCTACAAAAAGGCTTGGTATCGTGGGCCGGTCAAAGGTAGCAGGTCTCGTGAGCTGTTTGAGTCCAAAGTGCAGACTGGAGTCCAAAATGTCCAAACTCGTCCGCAGGTGTTCAGTTCATGGGTGACGTGTGGCGGTTGATACCAATCTTTGTTCCAAGAGAAAGTTGTGATTTCTGGGTCATTGACAGTCACGTTTGGTTGCTAAAGGTCATGCCTGGATTCACGTGCTTCTTTGAGTTCAACAACAACAACAACAACACCACCAACACCAACACCAACACCAACACCAACACCAACAACAACAACAACAACAACAACAACAACAACACCAACAGCAACAGCAACAGCAACAACAACAACACATGCAATGGGAACCTTGCATCAGCTTTCGTTGAGTTGGAGGTCATCTAGATAATGTACTGTAGAATATACAGTAGTTAACGCATCATAAACCTGTATGAAGCGGTCACTCTGTGTGGAAATGTAGGAAAGCATAGGAAAGCAAAAACACGCAAACTCCAGGATACTTCGAACATATCGTAGATTTGGAGCACCATGATTCAGCCCTAAAGAAAATACCCGCTCGTAGCATACAAGCTGGTGAGAATTCTCCCTGTCTTTATCTCGACTCCATCCTCCTTGACACTTGTTTACTCTCTCTGTCTCTCTCTCTCTCTCTCTCCCCTCAACCAACAAACAAGTTGACATTTCATGAACATTTCCTAAAATGAGAAGGTCCATTCCTGACACACCGAAGCATGCTCCGCCCGTTTATCACACACACACACAAAAGTGAGTTTGGGGAAAATTCGGAGAAAAAAAACGATAAAACGCCGAGAGACCTTCAGGAGCTTGTTCAAACGTGGCGAGACACCGTAGGAATGGAACCTCGGAGACCGCTTCCGAACATCGGGGGCTCCATCAGTCCAAGACACCGAGACTTCGCGGAGTCCGCTGCTTTTCTCGGTTCAAATGGAGCGGTGAAGCCCGGTGAAGCTGCTCGTTGTGAAGTATCTGAGCTTGATCTCGGATTTCCTAAGCACCGCCTCTAAGAGAGGATGGCTTTGACACATGCAGGAGTTCTTCCTTCAACAGTAATTAAGGTGAAACCTCAAAATCATCAAAAACAAAACTGGCTTGGTCTTGCTTGTTTTCCTCACTCGTTCTCAGCACCTCCAACTCGTGGTTGGAAACAACATCCACCCACAAGCAGCATGATCGGATCAGCCCTCAACATCCTGCAGGTGGGATAAATAGAACTCCCAGCAGAAAGTACTTTCTATAAGCAAATTTGTAAATCATTGTTGTTTGTTGTTTGCGGGTACTGTCATAGTCTGTCACATGTCCTGCAAGTGTCGAATTCTGGGATGGCCGTGTTCTTTTCCTGGCAAGAGAGGCAATTGTGGCCTGAGATAGTACTATCCCAGCCAGCGATGGTTCAGCAATACTCAGACCTATTATAGAAGTGTCGTTTTGTCACGCAAACATTTCGACCAAGCACAAGCATGTGCCGAAAAGTGCAGCAAACAACACGATGGTGCAAGATTGGGATATTGATATGGACCTTGGGTCTATCCTATTACCTGTAACAGTGGATGATGGTTAGTAAAGGCCTTGCCCCAAAATAGTGATAATTGTTTATTGACTGTTACAGGTAATAGGACAAGCCCAATATGGACCATGGAGCATCATGGAGCAATGCTCGATATATCATATACTCATCGAATACTCTTAGCAACCATAGACCTGAGGACTTCAATTCACCGCCCACCCGCCGGGTCCCTCGGTCCAGGCCACTCGCGGCGCACTTGGTACGGTGTCTCGTAGTCGCTGGGGACAGTGCCCCGAATCTTTCCCGCCTGCAGAGGGCCGAAAAGGCTGGTCCTTTGAAGGACTCCTTTGAGATGATCACGCAGGCCTACTGTTGAAATCCTTCATTGGAGCAATGGCATCGCTGTGCCAAAGAACTCCACCATGTCCGGACAGTTCGCGGCATGTCCGGAGCCCAGACCCTGGGTGCCTTCATCCAGTTCCGCCACTTGGGCGGACTTCTGAGTATGGCCTCGGCACTCAGTGGTTGGAGGCCATCGCTCTTAGGGTGGAGGCCATTGCTAATGGAAACAAAGAACAAAGAAAAGGAAGAAAGGATAAGAAAGGTCTAATTTAGTTTGGCCCCGGCACTCAGTGGAATGGCCCGACCAACGGATCCGAGGTGCTTGTGGAACGGGCGTGCCATGCTGAGTGGGTGGTCGCGCGGCAGAAGGAGGTGCTTTTGTAGAAACAGTTTAGTTTTAAGAACCATACTTGTTGATTGAGGGCATGTCTCTTTCACTTTTGACCTGTGTGAGGCCCCAGTGACCCGAGATTTCCAGCAGCTCAAAGAACCCCCCTGTTGTCGTCTGCAGTTGGCCTAAATCCTGTGAGCGCCACCATGCAAAATCCGACTCCTCTTCCTTCATCCAAACGACATCAATCACGGAGGCCATGATGTTGTCAGCAACCTGAATGAAGAGATAACCGAAGCCACATTGTTGGATGAGCACTTACACAAGTGATGCAATTGGAGCCAACTCAGTTTCCAAATCCTGCAGGTACATCTCTCCTTCAAAACATTGGAAGTGCTTGCCCCGGGATCTCAATCTGGAACCGCAAGTTCTAGAACTGTCCACGTATTCTTGTGAACTCGGGCCTCCGCTGACACTGACCCTGGGGAGAAAAAACAAGAGACAACCAGTGCGGCCATGAACAATTATTTGACTGTCAAATTCCCTAGAGATGACATCTTCATAAAGCTGCCCCTTTGTCTCGCAGTAAGGAAACCAATCCCACGTCTCTACTCAGTATCATGCTCCCCTGAGTTTTTGCAAAAACTTCGTCATATCGACAGAAATCAAACACGTTCAACCACCGTGGACGCCCAAAAAGGACACGTTGACGCCCTTCGGTCTGGTTCTCCAACCTTCATGTTTGGCCGTGCTTGTAGATCCACCTTGGGACGATGCCGAAACCGGGTGCCACGGTCCGAAGTCAGTCATCTCATGCCACTGTGATGATCATTAGCAACATAGCTGTTTCATAGCTGTTTCCCCAATATGTTCTTTCTCATGGTCTTCCTTCGGGGACCAGAAAAGATGGACCTTCAAATTGCGACATGCTGACATGACTGAGGAGGAGAAGTCAGTTATGCCGAAAGACA